TTATTATAATGTGTGAATGAACTAATTTTTAAATCTAAATCTAAATTTTTAAATTTTTAAATTAAAGCCCCAGAAGTGTTTAAAGGCAGTGGATATGGCGTAACGGTGGATTGGTGGTCTTTAGGAGTTATATTTTATGAATGCATATATGGAGGGGTATGTTGGTCAATATTTGTATTTGGTTAATTAATGGATTAATGTTAATCGTTATATTATACTATTGATTGAATTGAATACCAATAAAATATCCTGACATGGATCCACCTGTAAGTCCAACTTGTATATCGGCCATCCAAGGTGTAAGTACTGTTCGCTATTACTAATTAGAATCATATTTAATGGTTACAGATTAATTAATTCATCATTAGTTGGATATATTTATAATTAACTCATGAATGTAATTAAAACATAGTTTCTAGAGCGTGATATTAGTAAAAGATTAGGTTGTGGAATGAATGGATTTGCCCTAATCCAAAATCACCCATTTTTTCGTAATATTGATTGGCCTTCACTAGAAACGAAAAAATTAAATCCAGTTTTTTTGTCCTTCATCAAATCAAATAAATTTTGATGCAACTTACGATCTGGAAGAGCTGCTACTTGAGGAACAACCGCTTGACTGTAGACCATCACGTAAAAGAAAATCTAGACGTCGCAAGGATTATGGTAATAATGGTAAGAAGAAGAATAGTGATAATGATGATGATGATGATGATGATGATAATTGTGTACTTGTAATTGTTGTAATAATAATACATTTGATGTTTTGTTATTTATAGATTATTTTGAAAAAGAGGAAGCTCAATATCAATTAATTGAAGAAAAATTTAAGCCATTTGATTATACAGTTTTTGAGAAATACGAAGGTTGGGTAGATCCAGTTACAAGGTGCGTGTCTGATCCACCTGAATGGGTTAAGCCTGCTGCTGTTGAACTAGCTAATCAAAAAGAAAGGGAAAGTCAAGATGGAGCAACTAATAATGGCGGTCGCGGTGATGTTGTTGATAATATCAACAGTAATATTAATCTTAGTATTAGTAATTCACATGGTATGGATATAAGTAATAGTTTATCAACAACTGGATTACCTTTACAAAATAGCATACAAGCATCTTAATAATATAGTAATAATAATAATAATAATAATAATAATAATAATATTAATGATAATAATTATAATTATAATTTAGGCGGATACCGTAAGGGGCACATAGGTTTGGTGTTTTAATAGTGTGTACCCCCTCAACGGTATTCACGGTATCCGTGATATAAACCTAGTTATAATAAATAATAATATGTAGATATTTATTTTATTTATTTATTTATTGACATTTTAATGGTTTTCATTTCAGAAACTTTTTTTGTATAATTGTT